AACCCAGCCTCAGCACGTCTGCAGGTTCTTGAGCAAGGCCCTTAACCCCCAGCTCCCTGGGTGCCGCTACGGGTGGCTGCCCTTCGCGGACAACTTACTCTTCAAAAAAGAGCAAGTTGAGGGAGGCGTAAAGACAATTTCCCCAAGGGGATCAATAAAGTATCTATCTATTATTATTATTATTTATTTTATGAAAACTCCAAATCGCTGTGCTACTAGTTGTTTCAAGCATAAAGTATATTGATTGTCAACCTCTTATTTGATGCTATTACGCTTCTCCTCCTGCAGAGAGTATGCGCATGATGTTGAGAAAGATGATGAGAAAGAGCTGTTGTGCGATTGATTGTGCAAATAGATTTAACACAAAATAGGAGTTATCTATTTATTAATCTAAATAATTAAATATCGGACGTGGATCAGTCACGAATATCGGATTGGTGCATCTCCACAACCCAGAAACTGATCCTGTAAAATTAGTTCTATAAGTTTAGTTTAGTTTACTTTACTTTAGTACAGCACCAATGAAGATGTACATAAATACGACGTAAATAGGCAATCAATCAGTAAATAAACAAATAAATAAGTGACAGCTATATGGAACACTATGGGCCCTTTTCTGCTGTAGCAGGTTCTTTACTTTTGGTACTTCAAGAAAGTATCAAAACTTCAAAAGTACAGTATTTCAAGGTGTTGGTTTTCCACTGGTGTAGAACACTGGTATCAGTTTCTGACGAATCACATGACAGCATGAAGTGAGGTATTGTATACTGATTTAGAAAAATATGTATATGATATGTAAATAAGTATATCATATGGCTGGACAGTGGGCAAAATTAATATCAATATGGCATGATATTCCCTTTATAGATTATCTAATATATGTTTAATAATCACTTTAAAGTTTACCTCCACTGCTTTTGCATGAGAGCGTTCTCTGAGACCATTACAATCATTTTCATCCTTGCTGTATAAATCACTCCAAGATGGGTTTGTGAAAAATTTATGTTGAACTCTTTTTGCTTGATAAATACCCCTTTATTTTTTACAACAAAATCACATTGCTAGGGCATCACCCATATAGTGTGCTGCCCTAGTATATTGAACAAAACATTTTTTTAATTTCTTGGCATGCTATCCTGATCTTTTTCTTGTGACCAGTAGCCAGTACCACGAAGCAGGGTTACTGACTTATCGGGGTAACTTAAGGTTGGATTTAAGGTACCACAGTTTAAATGGACTTCATATTCGTTCACTTACATTTTGCCCAGACTACCTTAAATCCGACAAGTTACCCCGATAAGCCAGTAACCCCGCTCCGTAGTACAGGTCACAGATCACATATAATTAATTTATTTATTAATTTCATTTATCGTTGTTTCCAGAGTAACTTTTTTCAAGATTGCAGTTGTATTGTGTTTAGAGGCAGGCTATTTGGATAACCATAGTATATTATATCTTAGCATTAGGGCTGCACGGTTTATCGATTTCAAATCGAAATCGCTATTTTAAACAACGCGATTAGCAAGTCTCAAAAATCGCGATTCAGGATATACATTATACAGCACGTCGGACCCAGGGTTTCAAACTGCTGTGAGAATACTTTTACAAATTCATGCCATGCTCCCTGTGTGACAGTCATTCTCACTAATCACAAGCGCCGTGCTTCTCGCGTGCCAGTCATGCTCACCAATCAGAAGTGGCCCAAGAAGGCGTATAGGCCCACAAACAGCAAACACGTGAAACCCAAGGAAAATGTTACATTTGCGGTGCGGAAAAATACTGATTCCGCTACTGAGCTATATGTAAATTGCCTTCCTATTTCATGGTCCGAGATTGTTTCAGAAAGGTCCTATCATCAATAGAACCAGCAAGCTCCTTTTAAGCACCAGCTGCAATATACTTCAGCGTATCATACCTTTGGTTTTTGTCAGAGGTGTAAAGAGTACCTGAAAACCATACTTGAGTAAGAGTACAGATACCTTACTG